TTGAAGTAAACACCCCTAATTATTCGCCGGTTACTGCATGCTTGTTGGGGCGGGGTCTTACAGACAGACATACAGACAGATAGATAGACAGACTTAGACAGAAACGACATGTCTGTAAACAAATAGGTACATAGATAGAAAGACATAGACAGACTTAGACAGAAACGAGATGTCTGTAAACAAATAGGTACATAGATAGAAAGACACAGACAGACACACATACAATCACAAACAAACAACAATAGAAAAGAAAGACATTAAGAGAATTTGTGGAATTCACCAGAGAGGTTTTTATCTTGTTGAAACATAAAAAGCTTACACTTTAAATGAAATATAAGGAACTCTGATGTAATCAACAACGAAACTCACATAGACCCACCCACCCAACCCACACACACACACTACCCCGCCCCCCTACACACAAACACACATGCTAGCAACACACACAGCCGCAGATGAATTCACAGAAAACAACACATAACACAGAGTAATATTTCGAATATGACATTTAACGATCACCTTGTAGCACCACTGTTTCCATGGAGATGCCATACGCAGCTTTGTATAATGGCGGCGATTAGCCCTTGTTGTGAAAATCCGTTCAAATTGAAACAAATAATTGTTCCCTCTGTTGCAGCAGTAAGCTAAGTACACACAGGGACACTATTGTCCTGTACTATGTTCCTTGGATTTTTAATGACGATGTTTTTTTAAATTATTTTTTTTTTTTAATTTTTTTTTTTATGTTGTTACACTGTTAACATATTAACACTACTAGATACTGACAGAGACTCTAACAGTAACACTTGTTACAGCTGATGTTCCCAGACTCAAAATAAATGGCATATACATCAAAAGAGGCAGCAGAATGCGGTACCTGGAAATCACCTTTGACAGAAGTTTGTCTTTCAGGGATCATATAGAGGGGGTTGTGACAAGAGCTCAAAAAAGGTCTAAACGCACTGAAGATTATGGAAGCGATGGACATGGAGCAAAGAATGCTGTTCACACTTTACCAACACTTAATCATCTCAGTGAATTATTATGAATTTGAGTTACTCACGGTCTCGAAGAGTCAGCTAGAGACACTGAAGCACATATGAAGCTATGCGGCTGATCCTGGGTTGTACAAGAGACACCCCGATTGTGTGCATGCGATACATCCTTGCATTGCCGACTTTTGTAGATAGGCTAAAGGTGTTGCAGGCTAAGGCATACTTCAGAGTAGCTGCAGAGAGGGAACACCCTCTGTATGAAACTTTGACTGCAGCAAGAGTCAGATGCTAAAAAGGGGAAAATCGTGAATGGCTCAAGCAGAAGACACAATAAGACAAAGTATGCATGCCGGAGAACATTGGGCGCAGAGAGGAGTGGGTCAAAGAACCAGCGGAAAAATCTGACCTGTGTAGGGTTATGAACACATTGGGCTGGGCGTGCAGAGAGTGGTCTGCGGGTGCTACGGAGCTTGAAGTCCAAAGTAGACCGCTTAACGAAGTGAGACTATAACAAAGTATCAAGTTTCTCTCTATTTAGATATGTTGTAATAGACGACTGCAGAAGTGTAATAAATACAAAATACAAATGTATATTAACTAAAAACAAACGTACAGAAGATCACTGTTTTATATCCCTTTCTTCTGTTCACTTCTTAGGGAAAAGACCAGTCTAAATAACGCACATTAGCAAGAGGACAGACAGGAAAATTAAATCTTCCCCAAGTCTTCGGTCGGGTAACTGAAGAAGAGGAGTAGGACGAGGAAGAGGAGGAGAAGAAGAAGAAAGAGGAGAAGAAGAAGAAGAAAAAGGAGGAGAAGAAGAAGAAAAAGGAGGAGAAGAAGAAGAAAAAGGAGGAGAAGGAAGGGAAGCAGAAGGAGAAGAAGCAAAAGCAGCAGCAGCAGCAGCAACAGCAGCAGAAAAAGAAGAACAAGAAGAAAAAGAAGAAGCAGGAGAAGAACTTTTATATATAAAAAAAAGTATTTATGTATAAATATTTGTAAACGCTTCAGTCGCTTAGAATGACAACATTGTATACACAGTTGACACCTACAAATCTTCTTCTTCTTCGTTGTTGTTGTTGTTCGTACTTTTGAATCTGTCCAGATGAAAGCGTTAGATTGTGCTAAAAGAAGTCACACAAACCACAACCCTCGGCAGCTGACAGGCTGGATCTCAAGGTCAGACAACCCTGAGATTAAAATAAGTCAGCCTGGATGGCAAGCAGCAAGACAAATACCAGTTCAGTCTCTAAAAGATCCTTACGAAAAACGAATCAGACCATACAACTCGGCAAACGTTTTAGGCCATAAATCTTACACAAAGTCACTAAACTCGCATTAAAAAAAAAACTAGCAACTTATAGTTTTGCTAGTTTCTAATCAAACTTGGCCACAATTCGCACAAAAGTCAACACAATAAATATTCCTTCAACCTTGATGAATTGATCAGTAACGCGAATATTTAAATAAGAATGAAGTTAAGATCCAAAAAACCTTGTATTTTCATAATGCGCTGTCTGCAGCCGAAGTAATTCTGGTAAAAACAATCTCTTCTCCTAAGAGGTGAACTCTGTAATATTTACGAAAGAGGCCGG